CTTTTTTCTAAGGGCTGTAACCTTTAAAACGGGGTAGAGTGGTGCTGATAGATTGAATGCTTGCTATTTGTCTTTGCATTTCATTTAGCCTCTCTCCCTAAGCTTTGCTGCATTGAGCAGTGGTGCCCATGCATTTTAAACCTAGTGATTATCTCCGCACTGTTTGAATAGACACCTAATTAATCATCCTATGCTAAAGGAGAACATTTGATAGCAGGCTACAAGATCCTAACGTTTACTTTGTGAAACTCCCTGTGGGCAGAAGGTTATTTATATGGGCTGGGCCTGGTCTTCATGAGCAGGTGTCTGGGAGTTCCAAGGCTGGTGCTTTTGAGTAGCTGTTCCTGTCTCTGCTTACCCTCACCTGTGCTGACCCAGGCGCACTTGAAGCAGTTTCTGGTGTCTGGGGCTCGTCTTGATTTTCTACAAGCTGTCAAGAAACTCACCTCCTACTCCCTCCCCTGCCCCCATTCATATTCATTCGTTAAATCTGGGCTCAAGGACATATTTCGGTTGGCTCAGCAAAGGTTTTATACTTACGTTTTGGGGGGACAGCCACTATGCTAAAAGATTCATAAAACTAATATTCTTTGTCTTTAAAATTAATCTGGTTTCTATTGAGAGTTTCTGTTGTAAGTGCCAGTCAGTAACAGATGTGTGCCCGAGAAGTTGTACAGCTTTCCTATTCCAGGGCAGAGCATTTCCGTATACGAATTTAATGACTGTGTTCTGCGACTCCAGCGTGGAGTCGTTAATCCACTTATTTACCATATCATACTTTATTTTGTTCTCCAAGGGAATCTTGACTTCCGTTCGCCTTCATTTTTACTTAAATAAGAATTTCAGTGACATAGCGTTGGTTAGCACTAATCCAAATGTGTCTTACACTGATGCCATTGTGTTTTTGTGTCATTCGGGCACCATTGTTGGAGGAGCAAGTACTGTCTCTCAGAAGGCACACCTAGCTAGATAATGATGGTTTCACCAGGCCCTTATCCTGACCAGGCCTCTGGGCATTGTCTAGATAATTAAAATTAGATCACAAAAAAATATTGAGCACAATGCACCTTAGTATAGTAAGACTTTGCTCCATTTAAACCTGATTTTAAATCTGTGTGTGTGTGTGTGTGTGTTTCCTGGGCCTAGTGAATTTGTCTGGTTCCCCCCCCCCCCCCAAGGATTATAGAAAGTGCATAGCAGATTCAGCCTTCAGAATACCCAGGAGCTGAAGACTCAAGTAGACTGCAGCTGTCTTCACCCACAGTATCCTAAAAGAACTAATGAGATGGGAAGCCTGCAGCTGGTGGCAAGCACAATAAACCATGAGCCAGGGGCTTCTCTTCATCAGAGCCTCCCTTTCCCCCTGGGAGCCCAGAGGAGACAGAATACTAACAAAGCCAGCAGGCTGTCTCATTCCACACTATTGCTCATTTGCAGCTGTAATTGGTAGCTGAGGTTGCATTCTGTATGCTGAAACTGTCATACATGAAGGAATATATTTGTTCATTGTGATATGGATATAAATCGACCGGTTCCAGATCTAGAGACCAAATCAGATAGATACCCAACAATAAAACTCAGCAAGAAGATACTATTCAAAAAAGAAATTAACGTGTATTGTAGAAATACAAAAATCGGGGTTGTGAAGACTACACCCTCTCCCTGCCTTTTCATATCCTGCCCCTTAATCCAACTGATTAAACATTTACAGATTCAAACCAGCAAGCGCACAGTGACTAGATTTTGACGAGGTGCGTTATTCTCACCTGTCAGGGTTAAGGTGCTATTGTTAATAATTGGGTTATGTTACATTTTCAGTGTAATATCTTTAATGTTTGCTGGTCTGCACTTGAGAGAAAAACAAAGAGGAGGAGGTTCCATTCTATGTACTCACCTCGGGAAGATCCTCCACTAAGACACCCTGGGTGCTGGGAGTGGCTTCTTGGGTTTTTAAATGTTTACTTCCTGGGACTGCCGACACCTATGGCTGCCCTGTGTGGTACAGTTACGTGAGCCAGGGCAGAGATCAGTAGGGCTGGCGAGATGGCTCAGTCTTCCAGAAGACCGGGGTTCAATTCCCATCACCCACACAGTGGTTCACAACCTTCTGTAATCCCAGTTTCAGGGGTCCACTGCCACCTTCTAGCCTCTGAGGACAATGTATGCCTGTGGGGTACACAGCTGTACGTAAAATGAACAAAGTCTGGGTGAAGTCCGGGTATAGGGAGCCAGCCCTGTCAGTGCCTGGCTGGACTTGACGATGGAGGCTTGCAGGTGCGCATTCTGAAATGGTTTCAGATCTAGAGTGAGGCCTTCACAAGGTTTCCAGTGTCTTCAGTTTCTGCATCTGCGTCAGATGTGTTCTGTGAATGCATGATGTGTCTGCCTGGCATGAAGCTGGGGTAGAAGACTGCAAGGAGTCTCTCTGTTCTGACCCTTCTCTGGTTGATGCCTTTGCTGGTCAGAATTTAAATTGGTTGGCCCTCGCGTATGGACTGCCTTTATTTAGTGCCATCGGTCTTACTGTGCACACTTCATTGTGTGTTTACTTATTCTTCCCTTGGGTGTGGCCAGGTTTTAAAGTTCACAGCACTTCCACAATTTTCCGTACTCATTTCTCACTAAAATCCTGTTCCCTTCTTTTCTTTCCCAGTTTAATACATCCAGAATCAAAATCTGTCTCCATGCTGTGACATGTAGTAGCCTCCTGTGTCTTTATTATTAATGGCACATAAAACAGTGGTACGACCTATAGCTCTCAGCTACTTATGTGCAGACATGTAGTGTTTACCATTCCCTTACAGTTCAGGTTTTGTAAAAAGAAAAGAAAACCATGACTGGTATGGCCATGCCCACATCACACCCCAGTCCATAAGAGAAAAGGGGTATGGGTTCTCTCAAAGAGAATAGACTGATAAATCATGGCCAGCCTTCTGGGCATTAGACTGACAATTAGAATTTAATTGTTGAAATATTTTAAACATGGTATGCCTTTCTTTCTACTTTTGTTTTTGTTTTGTGAGACAGGGTTTCTCTGTCCTGAGTCTCTCTCTGTGGACCAGACTGTCCTGGAACTCAAAGATCTCTCTGCCTCTGCCTCCTGAGTGTGCCGGCTTCTTTCGAGTTTTCATATGAAGGCCAATTGTCTTGGAAGGGGTGTGTTCTTGACTGGTTCTTTGGTTTTGACTCTGACTGAATGTTCTCTCTTCTCCCTTGGTTGTTCCTACATACTTCTTGGAGTCTGGGCACCTGTTTTGCCTTGTATTGTCTTGTGTGCCTCTTTCAGCTAGGCTGACGTTAGGAACTAGCCCTGCGTTCTGACCCTTATCACCCCGTGGTGGCTGTTACAGGGACTTTGCTGGAAGTGGTTGTTTGAGGGGACAACACTTTCTAGTTTGGGGGAGAAGTGAGCTTTAATTTTGAACCTCTGCTCTAGAGGAGAATGGTTTGGAGGCTTACAGGTATGTTTTTTTTGTTTAGGTAGCTTACTTACTTCTGCTTGTGAGAGCAAGTTTTGGGATCTCTTGTTCAGTTGCTTCTTTCCTGGGTCTGAGGAAGCATGCCAGTTTTTTTGTTTGTTTGTTTGTTTGTGTTTTTTTTTTTTAAATGATATGGTATGAACTGGAGTCTGGGAACTAACTCATCCCAGCTGTCAGAGATCGAAGTCAGTGCTGTTGTGCCTAGACAGGTGGTGACTCTGGTGCATGTCCTTTCTTCGTAATGCTGACTAGCCTCATGTCCTGGCCACACCACATTGACTATTTCAAATCATTGAGACCTAGTGAAGCCAGCCGGGTTCGAGTGTTTTAACAATTTCAGCCTTTTCTCTCTCTAGCCCCTGAGACAGTGCTGAGATGGCCTTCCAGTCCACGGCCACATGTTCACCCCAGCACCCTTCTTAAAGGGTTAGCTTTTCCCTGATCCTCACTCTTTTTCTTTCTCACATGGTTCATTTATAACCCTCCCTAGGAATTGTTAGCATGCCATATGCGTTTACTAATTGGTCACTTCTAAATGGCCATTGCCAGTGTGTCTTCTTCGCTTTGGGGAAGTTTTTGTTGTACTAGGAGCATGCTCCATGCATGCTTTACTTGCCCGGCTCTTACCTAAGACTGCAGTTTCCAGCCAGGGTTTCCTGTCAGCCTTGTCCTGTTCCCCCCACCACCCCTATCACCCCCCACCATCCCCACAGTGTTTGGGTCTCGGGAGCCATCCTGGAAGAGGCACTGTCTCCGGGCTTGAGACTGACCCCTGGACCTATGTAGTGACAGTTAGTGAAGTTCCCGCCATTTGTATACTTCAGAAATAAATTTACTTCTATGGAGACAGCGGAGGAAGGAGAGAGATGAAGAATGGGGGAGAGGGACAGGCACTTTAGATAAGTAAAATGCTTTAACTCATTTCCTGCAATGTGTCATTCAGGATGCACCAAAGGAAATAGTTCATGAGCATGAGTTGTAGATTTTGGGGTCACCTGTGGCTTGCATCAGATGTGCGTATGTGTGCATGCGCGTATGCACACACAGACACACACATACATACAGACACACATACACACACCTGTCCGTCCCTGCTGCCCATGATGGCGAGGGACTTGGAGGACACAGATCCAGCAGGGAAAGAGGAAAACGCAGCATCAGGGCCTGCTCTGTGCTAGTGCAGGAGTGGCTCACGGTAGGTGGCAGAAGCAGCCCAGGGTCACTCACCATGTGCAGATGTTGTCAACAGTGAGGTGAGCATGCGTGTGCATGACTGTCAGCCCTAAAACCACTAAATGTTTCAGCCAGCATCTAGCCTTGCTGGGCTGCTGTCACTCAGCAATCCTGATTACATAGTTGAGATAAGAGTTTAGAAAGTCATGGCATGCGAGCTGCAGGTGCCGCGTGTGGGCCATTTCCCCTGTGCAGAAGCACAGGGAGCTGCAGCTGCAGAAAGCTGCCTGGCGAGGTTAAAGAACAGTTTCTGGGTTTCTTCATCTCTGGCTCTGTTTTGCTTTACAGGACTACAAACCTGATGAAGATCCTGCATTATTCCATTCAGTCAAGACCAACAGAGGCCCCCTGGGACCTAACTGGAAGGTATTGGTGACAATGGTGTCTTGGCAACATAACACTTGACAGGTCCCGAGTCTTAAAGAGGTGGTAGTGCTTAAATGAAAAATAAAAACTGCACAGAGGGTTGTATTTGCGGTAAGGATTTAGGGCCATTTGCAGTTAGCCTGTGAATGTGTGCTGCATTAACAAACAGAACAGAGCCATGCCATGCAGAGGAACCTGAAGAGAGGCAAATGGTTTGCTCTTGGGGGACTGCGACATCCCCTGGCTCCAGACAATGCAGAAATCCATGTGAAGTGAAGGTTTGTAGTGGGGTCTAGTCGGCATAAACCGACTATGACCAGCTATGTTTCTGGAGAGTAGGACACCAGAGCACTCTTTGTGGCAAGTATTTGTAGTCAGGTAGAGTACACCTTCACTCCATTCACGAAGCAGGAAAAGCAATTCCAAACATGGCAGGGTTGTATAGGGCACTACACCGAATGGAATCCCTTAAACAGGGCCTACAGGTTATTCTGATTAGTTTGACAGACTAGGAGACACATAGAAACACGAACCTGACCTGAGCAGGTTTTTCACCCATGGGATTTTCTTTCTGCCAAGCTCTAACAGGCTAGTTACAACTGGAGGGACAGTGCAGTGCTGGCTGCCCCTGTGGGTGACCCCTGCACAGCCCTGTTAGAACTGCCAGTTGTAGCTGCATTGTAAACTGTTGCACATCAGTCAGCTGAAAGGGAGGAGGGGCTGACTTTGTCTCCTGTGAAGTGAGTCATTGCCGGGCGTGCTTGTTCACAGCTTTAATTCCAGGCCTCAGGCAGCGGCAAGGAGATCTCTTGTGAGTTCAAGGCCTGCTTGGTCTATGTAGAGCTCCAGGACAGCCAGAGCTACACAGTGAGACCCTGTCTTACAAAGGAAATAAGGAATCGTAATTTGTCTTATTTTTCACATTTGTTTCCAGGGTAGAGTCCAAAACTCTTCCAACCTAATATATGACTAGAGACTTAATACCCAGGAAGTGATAAATGTCCCGTGAGCGTTGTCTGGGTTCCCTCGAGTTTACTCAGTGTCCCCACCTTTTCCAGGTTTACAGCCACATCCTCTAGACACCCCTAGTTGAGGCTGGTGGCTCTCCGAGGTGTATCCCTGCCGAGGTGGCTCTGCTGTCTCTGGTGCTGACTCTGGCTAGCATTGCAGAGGATGAACAGGCAGAAGGCTCATGGCAAAATCCTGAGTTCTTTTCACCCAGTTACTGGTGATTGAAGAACAGGGTGTGTGTGTTTGTTTGGTTGGTTGGGTAGTTGGTTTTTTCAAACAGGGTTTCTCTTTATTGCTTTGGAGCCAGGCTGGCCTCAAACTCACAGGGATCCACCTGCCTCTTCCTCCTGAGTGCTGGGATTAAAGGTGTGTGCAGCCAACACCCGGCTGGAGTATAGATTTTACACAACTGTTGCGTGGTGGTCCTGCTTTGCGTAAGTGCAGGGCTTTCCCTGTGGGAACGCCTGGGCGGTGTTCCGACCAGCCCCAGAAGAACTTGATGTTATTTACTTTTGCTTGGTTTTTCTGCTTCTTAGGAAGTTAGAATGTGTAACATTGCTTGTTCTTGCTTTGTTACTGAGATGTAATGTTTACCCATAGTCCTTTACCTCTGGTTGATGATGGTTTAAAATTCTGGAGTAGCTTGAGTTTGTTCGGTGGCAGGGTTTCATGGTGGGGCGCAGGCTACCTGGGGGTCAACCTACAGCCCAGACTTAGTGATTCCCCTCCTCAGCCTCATAATGCTGAGATGACAAGCATGCGCCGTAATGGGCTGCTGTGCCTGGAAAAACGAAGCCCCACGGTGACTTCGTGTTGCCCGTGCAGAAAGCTCCTCCAGTCCACTTGCACGTTGATCGCTTGCTCACTTTATCCATGTGGTGGTAGATGTGGGTATTCTTTTTAAGCAAGCAGCTGCTAACTGAGCTGCCATGACCTTGGGAGTAGTGGGGTAATGAGGAAAACAAGCCAAACCCCATTTATTGGTGTGCAAGGACATAAAGATTCATTCTTGACAATAGCTGAGCACACGTGGGGTGAGGCCTGTGGACTTGATCAGCAGCCATGTCCTTACTCCGCCTGGTATTAGCGGCAGGCTGAGGACACTGCCGGTGGGTGCTGAGGGTGTGGCCCATACATTACATACTCTGTGTGGTACTGTGCAGGCCAACAAGTGTCCTCTCTGTGAGACGTGCTCGCATCACCACCTGCTCCCTCAGCAGCAGGCTGTGTAGCAGCCCACATTCCAGAGCGTGTCCCAGGCTAAGTGAAAACCTCGGGATCTGTTCGTTTACTTGTGTATCAGACAGACCCAGGACCTGACACGTTAGGCAAGTGCTCTGTCACCGAGTTACACCCCAGTGGGCGCTTTGCTGCTTTCTTTACTTTAGGGGGGGGGGGGAGATGCTGCCTGTTGTGTTAATGAGCCGAGAATGTTCCCGAAGTTCCAGGTGCTATAGAATGGCACATTGCACCTTCCAAACTTTACTGTGGGGCAGGTGTAGGTGCTTTCTTTATGGTGAGAAATGTGGCCAGAGAAACCCAGACAAGAGTTGTAAGAGAGACTGGTGCCTGCAGATTCACAGGCCCGAGTCCAGTGCCGCTCACAGGTGTAGGGTGTGAAGGGGCAGGTCGTTTGTCATACTGCATGGTAGCAATTAAACTCTGTGCTTAGATAGTTCTGCACAGTGGTCAGGACATCTGTAGTGACAGAGGCACAAAAGGAGACCCATGCTGATACCATGAAAGTTCGTGCATCGGCATTTAGATAACGGAAGTCTTAGCCTCAGTTTCCATACCTCTAAAATGTGGTCGTTAATACCAACCTCAAAAATCATTGGGAAGATTGAAAGACATGAGTAAGTGCTTGGCACAAGAAGTTGTGTCAGAAGGTCAAGTTCCTGAGCCTCCCCTTCTGTGGGTCAGCAGCCTGTGCCCTTTGCTTGTACTTAACATTGTTGAACCAGTGCTTGGTATGGGTCAGAGCCACAGAGATCAGAGTGCTTTCCCCAGCCCGGTGGTGTTGCTGCTCAGGAGACATTTTCATTTCCCAAGCGTGTCATGGGCACAGGCTGTTATTTTTTCCCCCTTTATGATAGGACACATATTTTTACTTAAAAACAAATAAAACCAGGAATCCACGATAGCCCTAGAGACACAGCCTTAGTTGTGTGCTCATTTTCCCTCTGAAGAAGGAAATAGAAGATCTGAGCACATGAATTATACTTTGTTACTTAGAGTTCAACATGAAGTGACTTTGTGCATGCTAATAGAGCAATTTATAACCTGATTAAGAATTTTGCTTCAAGGCAGAGTTGCTGACGAACATTTCTTTGTGGCGCAGTGTGCATGCACACGCATGCATATGTATGTGTAGACTTCGGTTTCTGCCTGGAGGCTGTGTGTGTGTGTGTGTCTGTCTGTCTGTCTGTCTGTCTGTCTTAAGGCTTCCAATAGTATTTTACATGTGTGTTCCTCCTAGCTTTCCAGTTTGCCACTTCTGATCCAGGGAGTGTCAGCTTCACGAATTGAAGGCTATGCTGTTATTCTAGCCCAACGAGAGGCCTCGTATCTTTCTTCATTTAAGGCAAACCCTCTTGAGTGTTAAGCTTCTGTATCTACAAATGGATGATCGGTAATAGCTAGGAGGTTCTGCCAGGTCACCTGCTTCTGTAGCGTCAGACATCGGCGCACATGGTGATCGGGTCAGGTAAAGGAGTTGGCCCGGAAATTGTAGTGGTTTGATGTGTGCAAGTATGTTCCTCACAGCGCCAGCAGACTCCTGCCACAGGCACTGCTCAGTCACACCCTAGAATAGCTCTCATGGTCATTCTGAGCCCTCCCAGCTAGAGAAGGACACTGCAAGTTGTAGAGATACCAGTTTGTTTTCTCCCTGTCCTCATGATTGCTTGTTCTTTGTACCCCTTGTGCCAGGGGTGGGGGCAGTGGAGCTGGAGTATGGCAGTGGAGCTCTGGCTCCATGTGGAGACTGGTAAGAAAGGGCATCTGGGGCTTCCTCCTGTGGCCCATGACCATGTCCTTCTATGGCTCTCCTCACGGAAAGTGCTGCCTGCCTTGCTCTCAAATCCTGACTTTGACTTGCCTGAGGCCCCAAGTAGCCAGAAAAGCATCCTTCCTCCCCTAGTGGACCGTTTGAAACCATTTGAAACTGGAATGTACAGAACTCAAACTGGCTTCTGGTTAGGACACACTTTGGGTTCTGTACAGTAAGAGGTCGACAGACACAACAGGTTTTCAAAAAGATTACACAGTTTGGTAACTTCACTTTTAGCTTGAAGTTTTTAAAGAATCATTTAGCGCTTAGTATATATTATGCTTGTAGAACTTCTCCTAAACGAGTAAGCCTATGTTTTCAAAAATCTAGGTGCCCTGGGCTGCCTGCTAGCCTTCACCTTGGTTTGGCTGTAAAATGCCTCTGCTTCTAAGGCAGAGCTGCAGGATTCAGGCCTCTGGAACGTATGCCACATGGTTTGGGAAGTGACTTAGCAGACCAGGCCTCTGGCCAGGCTCTTGTTGAGTGCAGTGGAGTGGGACCCTGCAGCTGTACTTGTACATGCTAGCTTCCATCCTGATGAGGGTGTGAACTATACCAGGTTATCGTAAGGGAGTGTGGGCTATGCTGATCTCTTCATATGCAGGGGCCTTCCCTGTTTTGAGTTTATTTTCCATATTTTTATGAAACCACCTGTGATTGGTTCATCCCTTGGAACTTTTTTGGACTTAGAAGCCTCCCACCATGAACCCCCTCCCCGATAGAGGCATGTGGGGCAGTTGGCTCCTCAGGTCAGAGTGGCTTCCTTGTTTTGTGTGAAGACACCATGGTGTGTGGCATGTGGCAGTGCCTGGCGTAGATGTGCCCTCAGTGGGTGCTTAGTACAGGCTCGGTTAACGGCCATAACCCAGTGAAAATCAGTGAGCTGAGGCCCCAGCATGTAGAAAAACTCAGCGTCCAGCCCAGGCCGGTCCAGAAGACTCAGAGCGAGCAAAGCCTGTCAGGAGAAGCGAAGATGGTACACGTTGAAGAAGAGGGTTTTGCCTGAGATGGCCGTGCACATGCTTGGCGTGTGTCTTGTGATCCTGTGTTAACGTTTGCTGGTGCACACACTGGCAGCCCTCGAGGCACGTTTATTTTTAACTTTCTCAGTGAGATTTCAGTTGGAAACTTAACACTGTGGATTCAGCCGCCAAAACCGAGCGTTCCGATTGCCTGCCGCAAAACTGAAATGCTACGGGAGTGTGAGTCGCACAGAAGACTGCTCTGCTCCTGCTGCAGAGCTTAACTCCTTGAATGCAGCTCACCCCACCCCACCCTGGTCCCACGGGGCAAGCTCTGAAGCTAGAGAGGCTGGGAGGACTGGGCCAGCAGAATGCCCTCAGGCACCTCTCTTCTCTTTTCTCCTGCGTTGTATGTATTTGTTTGTCACAGGTTCAAGAAGTTTGTTCTTGGAGCTAATGTTGGCTGATTGCTCACCACACAGCTCCACATGCTGTAAGTCATTCAGTCGTGATGTGTGGTTGCTGTGTACACTGCTTCCCTGAAGGTCTCGCCGCATGCCTCAGAGTAACCTAATACGTGCGCTTAAATTGAAAACATGATTTGACTTGGGAAGCTTCATTTATAGTTAGTAACGTGAAATGTAAGGAATTCTGTGACTATACAAACTATTTAAATGCAATTTTGAAAACGTTTTGCAGCTAACTAGTGAATGCTACATTATGGATGAAATTTAAATTAGTCGGGGAGAAACACGTGAGGTTCTTTTTTGTTAGCTTGGGACTCCTCTTACACAACTTCTGGTTGCTTTTTTTGTTAGCCAACCAGTGTTTCCCTTCTTTTTAAAAAATTGCCATTTTAAATTTTAATCAACATAGAAAATCACTTACTGGCAGAATAATGGTATTGTGAAGTAGCAGAATCAGCCCTAGCTGCCTTGATGCAGGTAATGAAATCTTCAGCTTTGAGCTGGATTGGAGCAGTGTAAGACCTTCAAGAGGCATTTGTTTTCAAAGCAATAAAGAGGGAAAAATTCAGACACCTCGGTATTGTTTACGAAGAACCAAGTTGTGGCCCACAGCAGTTGAGCTCCCAGGGACCTGATAAAGCTAGAAGTTCTCTCTGTTACAGTGGGGATTTTCACACTTTTGAAAACTGTGTTTCTTTATTTTTAAATCAGGGGCTGGAGAGATGGCTAATGGATTAAGAGCACTAGTATTTGCAGAGGACCTGGGTTTGGTTCCCAGTACCCACATGTTGGCTCATGACCAGTTCCCCAGTTCCAGTGCATATGCATACATGCAGACACAACACTCATGCAGATAAAATAATAAATCTGCCTGCCCCATCTCCTGAGTGCTGATGGCACCGGTCTAAAGGCCGGTGCCATCACCTCCTGTAAAGCCCTATTCTTAATCACTAATTTAAAGCCTAGGTTAAGAGACGATTCCCTATCATTCACTTGAACAGGAATGACACCTAAAATACCGTGACTATATTAATTACTGAAGGAAACCGTGTAGCTTACGTATTGGGTCCTTGCTTTCCCGGTGACTTCAGTGAGATGCTCCTCCAAATCTACCAAGAAGACTAAGTCTCTGCAGCTGGCCTTTGTCTATTTGAGCACATTTGAGTGGGTTTGCATATTCTTCCCTCATAGAGTGGCTTTTTTTTTGTGGGGGGGGGGAACAAGAAGGTTGAAAAGAAATATACACATTTGAGGTATGGGCGGACAGCTTTGAGAGCTAGGAATTTTTTTTTTTTCTTTTCCCATTTTATACAGCCCATTGTGAGCTCTATAAATTGTTCTGTTAATTAGTTATAAGTAGCTTGCCAGAATCACTTACACTTACTAGGAAGCATGAGGGAAGCAGACTAGTTCACTGTGGAGTCACTGAGCACACTATGCCTGCAGTCCAGCCTGTGGAGGGCGCCCATGCTGCATTTAGCTCGCCCTTGTAGTTAGAACTGCGCTTCCCTTTGCTTTTATAAATTGTGGGAGAATTCTGAAGGGTGGTTGTTCCAACGGGTGAGGTTTTGTGGAGATTAAAGTGTGCAGCTTAAGTCCTAAAGATGCTGTTTGTAGCTTGCAGTTACCAGGACTTGTCCAAGCTGAAAAGTGCTTCGAGTTGTCAGTGTTGCGGGCCTAGAGGGCTGGGCTATAGAATAATTTACCTCGGGTGTGTGGATGGGGCCATGTGTAGGTCCAGGGGCCTCACAAGCCACTGGATGAGAAGGGCGTGTTTGGAGCGTGGAGTGATCTGATTGTCTAGAGGAGTGGAGCTGGGGAAGGTGAGGGTTCTGCGCCATAGCAACCACAGCCAGACCCTCCGTGCTTCTGGCCTGGTGCCAGCTAGACCTGCCTGACACTCGATGCACATTCTTCTCGTGCGCAGCGGCCCTCGTGGGCCAGAGGCCCCAGCATGGCTCATTGCTTATTGAAGAGATAGTCTGTGGAAGGCTCACATTACCATCCTCTGTAGAAAGAACTCCGGAGGCAGAGTGGCCAGCTTAGAGCCAGGCTTGTAGTCAAAGAGAGGGAGGTCCATCTCATGTCACTTAACTAGCCTGGTAGGAAAGAAGACATTCTGGAGATACCCGAGTCTGTCTTAGTCTGACTTTGGGTTTTTGAAACAGTGGACTCGGCAGTAGGGATTTATTTCCCCAGAACTCCTGTTAGGAAAAGGAAAAGCTCCTGTCAAACAGGACATTGTCTTTCCAGAAAGAGATCCCACACAGTTCTGACGGCTTGTGCCCCACTATACAGGGTGAAATTGAAGACCAGAGTGAGTTCTGGGACAACCAGAACTGTTACACAGAGAAACCTTGTCTCAAAAAACCAAACATATATACATACATACACACACACACACACACACACACACACACGTAAACATACGTACGTGAGGGATGGAAAGAGAGCTCAGTGATAAGAGCATTGGCTGCTCTACCAGAGGTCCTGAGTCCAGTTCCCAGGAACCACATGGTGGCTTAGAGGCACCTGTAATGGGATCTGATGCCCTCTTCTAGAATAAAGGTATACAAGCAGGTAGAGCACCATATATATAAAATCAGTAAATCTTTTAAAAGCTTTTTTTAAAAAAAGAAAATACACAAATGTTCTCCAAGTTAAGTTTTGTGTGTCTGACCTGACACAGGGTGATGTGTAAATGGTCTCCATGTAATAATTGCTGAAGCCAGTTTTCAAAGTGAGGTGTACAGTGTACACACACACACACACACACAATGTATAGTTAGAGCAGAGTTGCATACGGAAGAGAAGGTGGTAGCTAGCAGCTGGATACCCGGGTAAACATCTCATCACCCTCCCCAACCCTCCCTGTGTATGTGCTGTGCGTGTGGGAGAGGGTGTCAGGAAGCCAGCGGGGGTAATTCTTTTCCAGAGGGGCACAGCTGAACTCCTTCCTCTAGGTAACAGTTACATGGCTCAGAGGACAGTTGCTCGCAGCATCCGCATTTACCCAAGTGAGACTTATTCTCCATCTCCGTCACTTGAATGCCAGAGTGTGAGTCTCAGTGGGATTGAAGCTGCATGCACAGGCCATGGCTGTTGGTAGCAAGCATTTGCTGGCTATAGCCCTCTGCCCTCACAAACTGTGCTGTTCCACCTGGAAATACTTGAAAACACAGGAAATGGTGAAACTCCACAGTGCCGTTAAAAGAACTTAACCTTGTTTAAGGCTTGCTATTGATAACGCTTACCGTACGTAAGAACTCCAAGAAGACAGGCGGTGTTGGCGCACACCTTTAATCCCAGCAGGTACTTGGGAAGCAGTGCCAGGAAGATCTCTGTGGGTTCGAGGCTAGCCTAGTCTACAAAGTGAGTGCCAAGACAGCCGGTGCCATACAGAAACCAAAAACTACAATGATGCCAGCTAATGAGACCACGTAGCTGGGAAGTGACTTGGTATATGTGGAGGGAGAGGAACACTGCTGTTCCGCTGAAGTGAGCCCAAACTTCTGAACTAAACATGCGAGACTGGTTTCCCTTGTGCCTGTGACATTTTATGTAGCAGCCGTTTCCGTCAGAACCTAAATACTGAAGTCAGGGTTTTTCAATTTTCTCACCCAGAAGGAGCTGGCAAATACCCACGACTGTCCTAGGATGTGTGCCTATAAGCTGGTGACCATCAAGTTCAAGTGGTGGGGGCTGCAGAGCAAAGTGGAGAACTTCATTCAGAAGGTGAGTCCCTCACATCGTAGGGCTCCCGTGTGGGAGACTTGAGAAAAGGTGGCTGCTGGAAAATGGTCCCAGTGAGGAGCATTTTCTCATTTGTGACATGACACCCACCACCCCCGTGTGTCTGTCTGATCCCCTGAAGACACCAAATCCAAAAGAGGGCATCGGTTACCCTTGAACTCTAGTTGTAGTTGCAGACAGTTGCTGGAAACCAACCCTGGGTCCTCTGCAGGAGCTGCCATCTCTCCAGCCCTAAGGGACTTTGTTAGGAGAAATGTAGCACTGTATTTGTTCAGTGCGCTTTCCTGATTTTTCACAGATGGTTTTTCTGGCACTTGAGTACAAAGCCCCTCCCATGGCTAGCCTGTCCTTGAAGAGACCTGGTACCCTGGCCACCTCTGGCACTCACTCAGGTTGTCTTGTCTGAAAGTGTCTTCTGTAAAAGTCTTGCCAAGCAGTAGATAGACCCGAATTGGTGACATGGTCTGAGGATTAAGATAACTTAAGCAGTTAGATGCAGATGGGGGATCAATCACAGTGGTGTGTTTACATTTGTGCACAGCATTGCCCAACACCACATAGATAACAAAATGCACCAGGTTATAAATACATAGGAAGCTCCTATAGGGCCCTCCACCCCCATCATCATTATAAAGATGTCTTTGGGGACTAGAGAGACAGCTCAGTGGTTAAAGAGCACTGGCTATCCCAGAGAACCAGGGTTTGGTTCCCAGCACCCACATGACGTCTCACAACCATCTGTAACACGAGTTATATGAGATCCACAACACTTTCTGGCTTCCAAGGGCACTGCAAGTCTGAGATGCACAGACGTGCATGCATCCACATAAAAAGAAATCCTAGGGAATAAAAAAGACATCCTGTTGCCCCCTGGATTCTCATAGTAGTTCTTGTGCCTATTCACAGCCAGCCTCTGTATCTGCTGGCCTTGTCCCCTGGACATTGTAGTAATAGGTTGACCAGTGTAGATAAAGGGAATTCAGTCCTGTGTGTAAACATCAAGTTTTCTGTTCATGGAGGAAGGTTGAAAATTGTTCCCAAAGTGTTGGTTGTTGTATGTACTGTGCTCTCTTATTTGGGAAAGTTGAATACAGCTTAAAACCATTGGGTTTCTAAAGCCTGTGTTGTATACGTGGTTTTCATGTCTATGTCTGTGTGTGCAGACACATGGGCAGTGATGCAGAGCACAAAAGAATTAATGCAGGCCCTCGTGCTTTTCACCGTTGTGTCCCCACGCACGGGGCTCTCTCCTTCAGTGCAGCGTGTCCTTTGATACAGAGGTGGAGACTGGGACTAGTTGACCTTTGGCCCTTGGCATTGGCAACAGGTGTCAGTATGTGGGGCCCAGCAGGAGCATATGGAATTCAGTTAAGCATGCCGTGCGCTCTTGGCTTCTACCAGACCATTCACCCTCTTGCCGGTAGAGACTCTTTCCCATTTCGAGGGGAAATTTGAAAATAAGTTTTGAATTTTGTTTGTTATGTGTGGTTGTGTGTGCCAGCTGCATGGGTGTGGAGGTCAGAGGGCAGTTTGTGGTTCTCTCCTTCCACCGTGTGAATCCAGATACAGAACTGAAGTCATCAGTCATGCTTTGAGGCAAGCACCATGCCCTCTGAGCCATCTTGTCACCCCTTCACAGGGAGTTTATTTTCCTGGATAGGATTATGATGGGGCAGAATTAATGTTGATGTAAAGAACTCATCTGTTTACTTGTTTGTTTATTTTTGGGGGGACAGTCTCTACATAGCTCTGGCTATTATGGAATTCGTTATGTAGATCAGGCTGGCCTTGAACTCTTGAGGTCTGCCTTTGCCTCCTGAGTGCTAGGGTTGAAGGTGTGTGCCACCACACAGGGCCTAGTTTCTGCTGTTGAATGAAGTGGTATTTTCAAACTAAGTGCAAGTTCATTTTATGGGCTGTTTGGGACATGTGAAGTCAATGTATCACTAATTGGATGTTTTTGCTACTTTGTTTTAAAAGCAAGAAAAGCGGATATTTACAAACTTACATCGCCAGCTCTTTTGTTGGATTGACAAGTGGATTGACCTGACAATGGAAGACATTAGGAGAATGGAAGATGAGACTCAGAAAGAGCTAGAAACAGTAAGACTTGCTGTGGCGGTTCGGTTTCCCTTCCTAAACCTGTGCATGCTTAGCAAGTATGAAGCTGGAGTTGGAGAGTGTTGCTGGAAGCCATTTTGCACCACGTGTATTTTTATCAAAATGGAACCTCTTGGACACTAGTGCCCTCCACCCTCCTGAAGGTGGACTAGAGCTTTCTTAACCTAGAATGTGCTCCTTGTAAGAAAGCATCCTGGTGCTTTGTGCTGGGTCTTGGGCGTCCCTCCTCTGTGACAGTACCTGTCTCAGCCTGCTCAGCAGTCAGCTCAGCTCCCTCTGAGGGCAAGGTGAGGCTGGTGAGACCTCCAGGTCCAGCGGTGGCACCTCCCCTCTCCCAGCCAGCAGTGAGCTCTTCTTCCTTGGAAAGTCATTGGCAAGTGGTCAGGGTAGCTTCAGGGCTAAACTTTCCCTAGCTCCTGCCCATAGGCAGTGGGTGTCTACACTCTTCCAAGGCCATCCACACAAATCCTTCCTCTCACAAGGATTTGGTTTTGATTTTTTTTTTTTTTTTTTTTTTTTTTTTTTTTTTTTCCCTTGAGTCATGCTTTTCTTCATGTAAATCCAAGGGATGTCCAGGACCCTCAGTGCTTCCTGAGTCCTGCTCTGCAAGTCCTGCAGGTGTGGTGTCTGATGGCCTGTGTGAGGCCAGAGCCGCATAGAGTCATGGGGAGTGGTAGGAAGTCAGACTCTTTGATGAAGAAGGAAGGAATGCTGTCTCTGCTGTAGCACATGCAGTTGGTTACCAGGGTGATCAGGGCAGGCCTGCTTCTAATTAACCTTACACAGATCTTCAGAAAGGAGTGTGGTGTATGTTCTTAATAGGGCAGTAGAATGTTTTAGCCTTTCTTATATTTAAACTATAGACAGACTACACCTTATAAATGGATTTTGTTCCAGATTCTTTTTAGGCTGGTTGGGTTTGGAATGTCCTTTCCCAGAGAGACAGCGTTATAAGGGGGTTGGTTTTCCTCTTACTACAGCCGAGACTCTGAGTTCTGGGCCTTTGGAGTAGGGTGGTGGAATGATGGAAGGGTCTCCCTCTCTCTCCCCTCTGTTCTGAGGCTGGCCATGGGTATTTACTCCAGCAAGCAGAGGTTGCACTGATCTGGCCTTCACACCTCTTAACCCCTGTGCTCACTTCTCAAGGAGCAGACCTGGTGCCACCCCTCTCGGCACAGACCTGTCCCCTGCCATGCCCTCCCTCCTAGTTCTCAGGGGTCCCAGAACACTTCCTCCTCCTGCCGTCATCTCTGCAGCGGCTGCTTCCAGCCGGTGTTTCCCAGAACCTGACTCAGGAAGAGCTCTTGCCCTGGCTGTGCATTTTGTGTTGAGCTGTCAATTGAGGAGGACTGGCCACTGGTGATCAGGCAGTGAACTCGGGCCTTGGACAGGATGGGGATGAGGTCTCCTGCCCCCCACTTTCAAAGTTCTTAGCCTGCAGATAGCTGAACACACCACGAGAGCCCCTCGCCCGGCGGTGCCAACTCTTGCTACCCCCGTGGCAGTAGGGCAGAAGATCAGCAGCGGCTCTGCTGGCCATTTGGAAGTAGCGCTGTAGCTGCTCAGGGCTCAGACCGAACGAGGTCCCCGTGAACTTGCTTCACTCTGTCCTAGGTTCATCTATGAATACTTGGGAAGTGTTTTAGGCAGATCTCTGTGTTCCCCGCTGACCATCCTCACATTAGCTGCTCTGTGCTAAGTCGCAGGAGTATTTTAGCCCTGTAGCAGTGCTGACGGTCCCATCAGTTGGGTTGTGTGAACCCTCAGAACTGCTGCAGCATCAGCCTGGGAGCACCAGGCAAGAATCTCCTTCCCACAAAGGAGTGTGTAGTTCCTGCAGAAATTTCTGCTCATGCCTAGTCAAGGGCTCTCATACACAGATATTTTAAGAATGGGTTTTCTTTTTATCAAATCTCTTTTAGGCTTGAGAATGCCTGGCACCTTAAGTTGGGAATAGAAAGGGCAGGCACATGCATGCACATATGTGTGGCTTACAATTTGCAGAAATGTAAGGATTAGCCAGGTGGTAGAAGAGAACTGGCCAGATCCTGGGGTAGACTGGGGGAAGAGGTTCTTTTAGAAATACAGTATTTGTTTTCTGTCTGTTTCTGGTTTTCTTCTTTGGGTATTTTGGTTTTGTTGTTGTGTTGTGTTGATTTGGTTTGGTTTTGGTTTTTTTGTTTGTTTGTTTCTTCTGTCTGTCGCTGTTAGAAATGTCTGCTCCTTTGCTGGTTCTTTCTTCTGTGTGCTGTCCTCTGTCTCTTCCTTTGATCCTTGCTCTTTTCAGTAACCCTAAAAGCACTGAGAAACTGCTCTCAAAATCAGAACAGCCGCGGTAGCAGCAGCTTCCAAGCTTCCTGTCTGGTCCAGAGACATGAGATTCCCCCACCCCAAGCATTCTCTCAAAGCATATTGAAGCTTCCCTTGCAATTGTGTCCCTGATAATTTGCTGCCAGACTGGAGGCCTTTGTTTAGATGCTGATACAGTAAGGAAAGCCCCTTGCAAATTTGTTGAAGCCAGGACCAGTTGAAAGCCTCGGAACTTCATCCCTTCTGGGGATACATGAGAAATAGTCTCTATAATCATTGCTAGACCTTTTTTCTCCACTTGCTTACTAACACCTTACATATAATCATTTTAGCAGCTCATGATTTTATTTTACATTTAGATGCGTAAGAAGGGTTCCGTCCGAGGCACGTCGGCCGCCGATGCCTAGATGAGTCCCCTGTAGGTCAGAGACATTTTCAAACTGTGTAAGTGATGACCTGGGTAAAAAGATGTCTAAAACTTGCACCTTCTGGTGATGGGGAGTTAGCTGCTGAGCCCGCCCCAGGCTCTGCCTGTGTTGACCGGTCTCTGCTTATAGAACGGAAGAGGTGCCTGTGGTAGGAACTGTGAACACGTATGTTTTGTGATTGAATGTCACAGTCTCCATCCCACTGTCCCTGTAGTTGCTTATTTATGGCACCATCCTGGAAGCTGGTTGACCCTTTAGTGGAACCGTCCCTCACTACAACCTTTTATGGTTCCCAAGGAAACCCAGATCCCTCCTGCCTGCCACACCATCAGGACAAGTTGAGCAGCTCACTGTAGATAAAATGTGTTCTGTGTGCCACAGTGTCTCTGTTTACTCTGTAGTTAACTTTGTAAGTCTAACATTTTTCTGTGGTGTTCACTACCAAAGCCTGTGTGCCCACATGGCATTTCCATAGATGGGGCAGAGAGCATCCAAATCCACCCACAGGCACAGGCAAATGAATAAGAGCAGCAGAGTCTACTGTTCTGTGCCAGTGTCCGTGGGGACTGGAGTGGGGCCCTGTGCCCAGCGCTCGCTGAGCCTCCTTGCTCCATTAACTGAAGGCAACTATCTTCTCCACATGGACTAAGTGAGTGGTGCTTGGTCATGAAAAGGAGGCGCTGTGCTGTGCCCAACAAGAACTGAGTAACACCTCTGAGACCCCCAAAGCTCTCATTCCCTGTTCATCCAAAACAAACACATTTTTTTCAGTCATTGTCACTTTAAGTACTAACTTTCTGTGATTTGTTGCTGCTTTGAATTTACTTTTCTCTGTGATAGAATAAAATGTTTTGCCTTTAGCCTGGCCAGGCCAGTCTTTTTAAACAGAAACTTTTGGGGTACACTAGTTTGGGGAATATTTTCAGCCATATTTTTTCCATATTGACTATCTCAGGAGAGCCTGTGGCCTAACTTGCTGTGTGCTTCTTTACTTTCTTACAGCTACGGAGTCAAGGCCAAGTGAGGGGAACAAGTGCAGCCTGTGACGAGTGAAGATAGGACCAGTGTCTCTCAGTGTGACGTCTCCAGTGTGTGCCTGTGATGACTCAGGTGCACTCTCACACGCACACACACACCCGTGTGTATATGTGTGCATATCTGTAGCTGTATGTAAAGCACATATGGCTACAGGCCTAGATACACACACAAGTATATATATGTACATGCAAAACATTGAAGGGATCAGTACAGTTTCTCCAAAGTACTGTACTTGTCTTCAGCAAAAATACTAAAGAAAATATTTTCCATATATATTACCTGGAACAGATTTTAATAATCATCATCCTGATGCCCTTGGTGGATAAATGGACTGCCGTGTGGTGCCGGCTGGCATGCTTCATGAATGCCAGGTGTGGACCAGTGTGTGTAGCCTTTGGTTATGTTTCTGGTTTTGTTTTTTTTGTTTGTTTCGTTTGTTTTGTTTTTTTTAATTTTTCAAGTCACCCCACATACTTTTTTTGTTTTCATCCCATCAGCAACAGACTCCTACAGAAAGATGTCTTCAAATTTTTAGATACTCCAGTGACTCTGGAAAGTAAACTCTGGATGTATTTATAACTATTTATTTCTGGGTAGCCACTATCTTCCAGCCAAATCCAACAATATCTGTCAAGTAAGGAGTAAGATTAAGCTCTTTGCTAGTTTGCCCCAGGGGTGGGGAAATCCTTTTTTTAAAATTGCCACTTTTTATTGGATTTTTGTATTTTGAATTTCAAGTATTTTTCTACATCAAATCTAGCAAAAAAAAAAAAAAAAAAAAAAAAAAGTGATGACGGTTTGTGATTTATAATAAACACTAGACAAGATTCAGACTCTGGTTAAGCAAACTAGGTGATGAAGTACACCCTCACGGTATTGTAGGTTGTGCAGAGGACTTCTGTGGAGTTTGTTTCTGGGATTCCAGTGTGGAGACTATGCAAGCCATCTGTATTGCTCTGAGCTCACAGGGTGGGAGAGTAGTGACATTTATTTAGCTCTTTTCCTGTTGCAGTCTGAGCCAGGGGAAAGTGCTGATGGTGAGCTAGGAACAGTTTGGATGTGGCACAGGACTGTCACCATTCTAAGACCCAGCTAGATCCTGAGCATTCCTGCTGACATTGCATCCTCTTCCTCCTCCCTCCTCTTCCTCCTCTTTTTCTTCTTTTTTAAGGGAAGGAACAATTGCTAGATGAGTGATTATTTTTTTTTTTTTTTTTTTTTTGGTTTTGTTTTGTTTTTGTTTTTTTTTTAATCAAAGTTTCTGTCTGATACTGTTTTCCCTCGTCAGTCCTGGAAGCCTGACCAGAATCATATTGTTGAAGCCTTCAGGTCACACGCTGTCTTTTTAACCTCCACACACCCAAAACACACCACCCCATAGTCCTCCATCCCCCCCCCAGAACATACCACCTCATTGTCCTCTCTCTCCCCCCCCAGAACCAGCACCCCATAGTCCTCCATCCCCCCATAGTCCTCCATCCCCCCCCAGAACACAGCACCCGTGCAGTTGGCCCATTAGTAACCCTTTGCTGACAGTCTTGCCCCCCATGCCCCTCCTCCCATGGGAGCAATGGCAGAGCTTCCCACTGCATTGCAGCAACACCTGTCATCCTCACCAACAAACCCTGGGTTCCATGTGTCCTCTACTCAATGTAAATGGGCACTGTTGGGAGATGGGTTTAGTCACATCAGTGGAGAATTCACCAGAAGGGTCACCGCTAACCCCAGGCACTGGAGAACCATCCAGTCTCTCTGCCCAATGAAACTCATGGACATCTGTAGTCTCATTGGGGGCTTGGGCACACAAGGGAGTGAGCCCGATGTGGATTCTGATGTCTTTGTAACAACTGTGGAGATTGAGGGGATGTGTGGTGAATGTAAAATTACCCCCATTGACTTGGCAGTCTCTTGTGTAAATTACAGTAAAACAAAGTAAGCAAAATTGAAACAAAAATAAATTTGATCACAAAATGCCACCTGTGTGCTTGAGTGGCTCTTTCCCTGGTGCCGTTTCTTGCTTGGAGCAGTGAGGGACACTCACAGGCTTCTCGAGGGTTCTCTGGGTTTCAGCAACCCCGCTCTGAGAAAAAGACAAAAAAGGTTCTTGTTTTGCTGGTCCTATGAGGTGGCTTGTTCTTGACATGGGCCTGTGTTTTTAAGTCCTCTGTTCGGTTTTGCTGTGATGTCTGACTGTCTCAAGATCGAGGCTCTGGAATGCTTTGTTTAGAACTTGGTCATTTCTACTGTGCTGTTTTTGAGACAAGGCCTACTGCCTGGGCGGATTTAATGAGCAGTGTGTTTCCAGGGTGTTTGAGGTCCCTTTCTCTTTTTTGATTTTTCTAGACAGGACAACATCCCTGGCTGTCCTGGCACTCACTCTGTATGTAAGCGAGTCTAGCTTTGAACTCAGACTGTTCTGCCTCCTGAGTGCTGGGATTAAAGGTGTACGCCACCATTGCCTGGATGAGATTCCTGTCTTGCTGTTCTGTTTCAGATGCAGCATCGGTGTACGTGGTGACCTTGTTTCTTGCATCAATCAACCTGAGTGTGTGTACAGGCACTTGGTGCTCAGCATAGGTTCTGAGTCAACTAAGGGCAGATGTGCAGTCCAGTATGGGAGACAGACACAGGCAGGAATGGTACAGCACCCCGAGTTGGTGTGACAGTCTTCAGGAGTAGTGTTGCAGGGCAGATGTTACACACTGGGCGAGCAAGACATGGACGAAAGTCCTTGCAGTCCCAGCAGCTAGGACCCCAGGAACCCTGGGACCTCCCAGAGTCTTCTGCTCTGTTGTGGAGGGCACAGGCCCTGGCAGGTGATACTATACCCTTTTGACAGTTGGGAGCCCTCTCCCCTGTCCTGGTTTGCTCTTATGCTCACTTTCCATGCTACACAGACCTCCTGTCCCCTCAACCTGATGGTGTCCAAAGTGTCCCAGCCCAGCCCTGGCAGACATGTCTCAGGAGGTAAGGGGCATTCAGCGTCTGTCGTGAGCACACACTGAAACTCCCCAACGGTCCTCACAGAGAAATACTGTGACCTTGCTCTCCGGTCAGTGGAGTCACCAGGAGCCAGGAGGTGACTCAGTGTCTGTGGGGTTGGGTTGCAGGGTTCTAGAGCTTGGATTGGTGTGGCTGGGAAGGAAGGAAAGCAGTGGAAACCAAGTCCCGGCCCATCTTGTCCATGGGATGCTTTGGACAGACCCACACACTCCAGTTATGTCACCGGTTGTGAAAACAATATGCATTGCGCAGCTGACTTCACGTCCTCTTGAGCATGTTTACATCAGGGAAGTGAGAAAGATTCCTGCACCTTCCCGTCATAGTTGCCTTTTAATCTATCTGATGTTGCCATGGTGTAGGGCTTTACTGGAGAGACATTCAGAACCAGCCTCGATCTGACAAAACGAGCCTCCCTCACCCTGAAAGGAATTCTCACCTTCCCAGAGGAGGCTGAAGTTTCACACAAGTAGCCTTCATGACTACCTCCTTCCTGCGTTGGACTAATGGGCTAAGTCCTGAGTTCACATGTGACTGGGTTAAGAATGTCTCCATTCCAGTCAAGGTCCCTCTGGCTGTCCAAAAGCCAGCCTGTCTTCCATGAGCTGAGTGAACATACCGTGCTAGAGGAAAAGCCAGCCCGTGGCATCATCATGCTAGAGGCTAACTTGAGAGCAGCTGCAAATAAAAACCTTTACAGATGCCACTTTCCTACCTGTCATCTTCCTGTGGGTTGGTCTTGGTGCACCCCTCTTCAAAAGCAGGAAAAAAGGCCCAGAAAAACCCCTGTCCCCTCCCAGAAGTACCTGTTCTCTCTCAGGTGCCAGCTCCTGGAAAGCCTGGGCCTGGTGCAGCTCCGTCAGGAAGCTGCTCGTGGAGAGACCCTTGCCACAGCTCAACTCACTATTGACTGATGGATGGCGCCCTTAAATCTCATATTTCACACCCTATGTTAGCGTGGGCTCTCCTCAGGGGCAGGTGTCATGCCGTGCCTCAAAGTCACCTCTTGTAATGGAAATTTCAATCATGAATGGCATCCCTCCCCACGGCAGATGTCTGCCGGTCCAGGGACAAGACACCTTAGTCTTGGAGTCTAGGAGAGGGGAAACAAGATCTAGTCTCTTCCCTCAGCCCAGCGACACAAGGGCAGCAGCTCTGGCAGCTGTCCAGGGAGCTCTGAGTCTACCCTTTCCCCTTCCTTCCCGATTGCCAAAGCCAGAGGCTTCAGCATCCATCTCACTAATGGCCACCCTAGGCAGGAAGCCTAGCTGGTCCCCCAGGCTCAGAATGTTCTGGATGTGAGCGAGCCCCTGCTGCCCTTTGTCTCTTAGTCCATCAGTCCAAGCCATGTCCTAGCCACCCTCATCTCAGGGAGGGTATCACAAACGTATATGGTGGCACACACCTTTAAACCTAGCACTAAGGGGGAATTCTGTACCCGCCAGCGCTACACACTAAAACACTGCTCTCCTGAGCCCCTCCTCCCCCCCCACCCCGCCACTTTTAAAGGGCTGTGCAGTATGTGAGGCTTTGACAGCCTTATGTCCCCATGCTTAATGCAGAAACAGTCCGGGGCCCCAAAAAGCCTGGGTGGTAGGGCAGGTTTGACCAGTGGTCAGAAACGTAGGACCCCCACAAGCAGCTCTCTAGAACCTTCATGACGACACATGCACATTCCTGACCCCGAGAAGTCCTGAATGCCAGTAGCCACCATCAGGCGCCACATTCTGATGCTGACCGGAGGAACCAATGGCAGTCTGTTCCCCTAGCTGTGAGATACTCAGAGAAATAGTTTCAAGCATTTCATTTCCAGCCAGCTGCAAGGTGAGTTCCCAGAAGGCATCGAAGGCGAGCTTGGCGCTGGCCCTTTGCTGTGGTACCCCCTCCTCGTTAACCTGGGCTTTGTGCTTCTGGTGCTGTGAGGCGCCTGCCATGCTGTTGGCGTGCTGATCTCTTATTGTATGTTGATGGCAAAGTAACCGAGAAGCACATCGGAAAGGGGGGCTTGCAGGGTAAAGACAGAAGCTTCGCCTCTGGGTGGCCCATGGCAAATGGGTCCCTGCATCCCTTAATGCTAATAGCATCATTTTAGCGCCCTTGTCTCTCTTACCCACCCAGAGGTGCTGTGCCCACTTGCCTTCCAAGGTGTGCTAGCCTCTCTCTCTCTCTCTCTCTCTCTCTCTCTCTCTCTCTCTCTCTCTCTCTCTCTCTCTCTCTCTCTGCTCCCATGTGTCCCCTGCAGGAGAGGACCTGTGAAAGGGCCCAGGTCAGCTGTCGTCCACTGAGGCTGTTTGTTTCAGGACTAGGGCTGGCAAGCTTTCTGTAAAGGGCCAGATGTTCATTGAGATTTTTGAGGCTATATAGACTTGCACCACTGCCCTGTGCTGCCCCTGTAGCAGACGAGTAGCCTTAAGCATCCCAGGGTGATGGGAGATGTCACTCTGTAAATATGTTTCTCATACTGGTTAATGAATAAAGCACTGTTGGCCAATAGGAAAGGAAGATAGGAGGGACTAGGAGACAAGGAGGAAAGAGGAAGTAGGAGGGAGGAGTCAGCATGGAGAGACTAGGGAGACCAGACGCATGCCCCATTCCCTGGTAAGGTGAAAGCACGTGGAAATATGTAGATCAACAGAAATGGGTTAATACTTAAAACAGAGCTAGCCAATAAGAAACTAGTACCTGGCCAACAGCATTATATCAAATACAGAGTCTCTGTGCGTTATTTGGGGCTGGCGCGGCGTCGGGACAAGACCAGCGGCGGGCGGAAAAACCTTACTCCTTACAGGGTGTGGCTCCACATGGGTTGTGTGACATCTTGCTAGTAATTC